CGGCATAGAGAGGTGCTGCGCGTCCTGCAATTTGGCCGCGAGCACCTTCAGATGCGGACGCCATGACCTGCTGGGGCCGCCCCGGGGCATGCTGTTCACGGTGGCGTGCAAAAGCGGGTTGTGGCCCCGTCGGGAGGTGGTCGCAACCCCAGGCGAGCGGAGGTGGTCGATTTCTGCCTGGAATTGGTTGCGACGACATCGATCCGACCGATGGCTCCAACAACTGGAGTGAACAGCAAGGTCGAGGTGCAGCCCGTGATGGCTATTGGGGCGCATCCCGTCAAGGCACCTGCGGTCTTCCTTGGCCTGCGACAGATGTGGCCGATGAGGATGAGGCAGCGCTAGCACATACTGGATATCAGCCTACCCACATAGTACATATGTTGCAAGGTTGGAACGAGCGGATGGAAAAAGTCAAGAGTCCAGGAGCCACGGAGGAGGAACTGCCGGCCGGATGGAACAAGTCACGTGGACAGAAAAGTCTAAATCCAACTAATTCTGTTTCAAGCCCCGTCCTCATCCAACTAATTGATGATGTGGCAAGTTAAAACTATTTTTGGGTGCATAATATTGGAGAGCTGCTGTGGAGGAAACTAGTTTTTGGGAAACAATTATTTGAGAGACCCCCTAATATAGAGTTATGGGGGTTATATTTTTGGGGAACTCTTGGAGTTGCTGTGACTCCTCGGTCCCTCCCATGTGTGGAGGCACCACTCGAGGAGAAAGGAGAGGGTGCATGACAGGGAGAAGTAATGATGGAGAGAGTGGAGGTTGCGGGTGAGATAGAGGTGCTGCCGCACAACAAAGTAGCTAATTAATAAAAATTGATGCATGCCAATTAGTTAGCATTGATGCACGCATGCCCGCCGCAGTAAAGGGAGGGCGTGTGCTGGGATGGAAGCTGAAGGAAGGGAGCCGCAGGTGTACGTACGTGTAGGGGCTGCTGGGTGGAGATGTCCAATGCTTGATAAACATCAGACGGCTGGAAAAGTAAACTGGATAAAGATGGGACGGTTGAAAAACAAAGGTGACGTGGAAGCACGAGAGGTGAGCTTTAGCTGACATTTATGGACGTAGAGAGTATGAATATGGATGGTTATTTCTTAGCTTCTCTATATATAAAAAAATCAGTGTTTAGCTTCCTTGGTTTTTTTAGAAAGCACTTTGTTGGTTAGTTGTGTTATGGACAAATAAAAAATATACTAATATTTGGAGGGTTCGTTTCGCTTAAATTTAATTTATGCTGATTTGTTATAAGAGAAAAACATTGTTCTCAGGGCTTATATTGCCGTCAAATGAGAAAAAGAAACGGTAGTTGGTCCTTGGGGCGAGGGACAGTCAACGGGTGGGGCGGGCGGGCGCAAAGACGTAAGTTCCAGGAAGGTCCCTATTGGGCGGGGCGGGGCCAGCACGACAACACGTGTGGTCGCCGCGTGGACAAGCAGGTCAACGCCGCGCCGGTCGGGCCAGGGTGGGAATGACCGAACGGGAACGGTCCAAGATGCCTGCGCTGCGGTTCGTTTCTTGTGCTTTAATTTGCTGTAGGAAAGAAGGCAGCAGCAGGATCGATCCTGATGCTGTGTGCGGGATCATATCCGACTTCTACATACCTAGTCTGGCCGCCGGGGGTCGATCGCCATCGGCGCACCTCTCTCCTTTATCCATGCACGCGAACCTCGTGTACGTTGTTCGGCTACGCGGCGTGGTGTGCGCTGACCTTTTTCTTCTTCTCACTCAAATGCATGCAAAAGTCTCTTGTACAGTTGTACGTCTACTTTTCGTCCTAATAAAGGTAAACCGTGTATACCCGCCAGGCCAGCCCCAGTGTGTATTATGTATATACAGTTTTTAATTTGTGGCCGGTGACGTTCCCTTTTTACCAGGTTGGTTCGGGGGAGAAAAAAAAACCCTCTGAACTTGCTCACGACACGTTCGATCTCCAAAGTATGCCATGCCATGTGTTACTAAGATATAAAATGTGGTACTCGATCCTGCAAAACTACCATCTCGAATTTCCCTAACGGCCGGGCCGGGTAAAACACGTCAACGTCCCAACGATAGGGAAGAACGACGTCAAGAAAATGGAGTCTGTGAGCCAGCCATGTCACGTCACGACTAACTTGTAATAATTTTTGTGACAAATGCATGACAGAAAACATAATTTCCCTGACATGATGCAAAGAAACGTCAGACATGTTTGAAAATTTCTATCACGTGGGTTCCTGGCATCAATTTAAACTTGAATCAGTGTTAGGGTCCTAATTTTCGTAACCACTTTCAAGAAAATAGGAATGGAACGATTGTTGTTGAAGCAGGTGTTTTCATGTGGATGTGGACCAGATAGTATGGGATGAATTAGAGTTGTGGTACCATGTGTTTGGTTTCAGTACGAGGTGGCTAGGATGGGATCGTTCCATTCCTATTTTTCAAGATGGGATCATCCCAACCCCTGTTTGGTTTGAAGAGAATAGATAGATAGAGATTTTAACACCCTTATTATCTATAGTTGCTATGATCCCTACCTATAATATCCCTAGGCCCCACCTATCATCCTCATAAGCTTCGTCTTCCTCCCTACACCCACACCAATGGCACTTGCATGCCATCCCGACCACTAACCCCTCCTCGATTTGTCGCTTGCTCGTCGTTCGCAGCCTTGGCCCGTTGCATGCTCGTTGTCCACTACTCCTACCTCATCGGCAAGGCTGCATTCCGCCTCCGTCGCCTGGTCACCGTCCATGTGGCCCCGCTCCGCCGCCCCCTATCACCGTCGTGTGGCCCTACGCTGGAGCTAGGCCAGCTCAATATATTTGGCATTCTTGGTTCTATGCCAAATACAAACCCTATTTGTAGTACTATATTGATTGCCTTTGGCATTGCTGCAGCTCTTTGTCTGGCATAATGATATGTGGCTTCTTGCCTAACATACTAGCTAAAAATGTTTTGAAAGGACAAACAAAACTTTCAGCAGTTTCATCATACAAAAGTGCAACATCAAAAATAGTAGTTTTATTATGATTATATTCACTCCAACTAGCGTACTAAATTGGGTGCCCATCATTTAGTTTTTTGTATGTTGTTTAAAAGCAAACAACATCCCAACCTTCATAGTCTGCAACCATTTAGAATCAGTTTAGAAAATGTTTATATATCAAGTCGTCCTCACCATCGTGAATGGAATATAAAGACTTCCTATCTTCTGTTGTTTTCTTCTCTAGATATTTCAATACTCCTCTAGTATCTCCTCGATTTATCTTCAATAACATCTTTGAATACAATTTATTCTTCATATCTTCACGAGTAAATCCAAGATTCTCAATTCCATCTGCTTCTCATGCCATGAGACCAAAAGTAGCTTTAATTATTTGAAATACCAATTGCTTTAGCATTTTCGATACTTGCAAGTTGTGCTTCGGTTTTTCTCCTTTGGGATCTTAAATGATGGGATTGACTGCAAGTAGCAAGAATATGGTTATCCTCATGCTCAAATTTATAGATGTAGTAGAATTCGTCTCTAAGGTTTATCTTCATGGGTGCTTGGCGCATACATCGTGTCTTTGGCCTACTATAGTTAGAAGAAGGTTTTTCTCTTTTATCGTTACCTCCAATACCTACGGATAAAGAAAATTTATGGTAAAAGAATGATGTTCTATTCCAACCATGAAGAAAATATTATATGATAAATTTAATTTAATACCTGCACACTGCATGAGAACAATAAAAAGTTATATTCTTTACTGTGGTAGTATTTTTTATATTATTTGAACTACTTCCAATGCTGAAATCCTTGTCTCGAGCATACGCATTGTAAAAAGCATATGCCTCTTGTCTAGTACAAAATCTCATAAAGTCTTTCGTATGTTGCCTTCCAATGTATCCTTGCACAATTAATTAGTTAGAGATGAAGGAAACTTTTAGGATAGATAAAACAAATACTCCCTCAGTTCTAAATTATAAGATTTTTTAGCTTTTATAGATACATTATGTATCTAGAAAAGCCAAAATAGCTTATAATTTGGAACGGATGGAGCTAGCAATATAGATCTGTCTTATAGTTTGGCTAGCAATTTCTATAAACAATATAATGTTTCAATCAATAGAGACAATATTTTATTATGAAATTAATTTTCATGATAAATCTAGTAGCACCAACCTTATGTTGTAAAACTAAAATACTTAGCATTAATTTGGACTCAGAGAAAGTATTGATTTAGGTTCCTTTGTCTCCTTTTAGGTACATGTGCAGTGAACTGAAATGACAAGCTATATGAACTAGGGTGAATTCAAAGTGTACAATAAGTTAGGGGGTGTTTGGATCCATTGATTAAAATTTAGGAGGTGTCACGTGAGAGTGTCGTATGGGGTGTTCGGATACTAATAAAAAAACTAATTACAGAATCCATCAGTACTCCACGAGACGAATTTATTAAGCCTAATCAACCCGTCACTAGCACATATTTACTGTAGCACAACATTATCAAATCATGAACTAATTTGACTTAAAAGATTCGTCTCGCAAATTAGTCATAAACTATACAATTAGTTTTGTAATTAGTCTATATTTAATACCCCATGCATATATCTAAACATTTGATAGGACATCGACTAAACTAAGTTTAGGAGAATCAACCAAAGACCCCTTACATGCGCAGTGACCTGTAGCGATACGCTCGATATTATTATATTATATAAATTGATCACGCCTAATTCCTGCTTTTGCCCAGACTTTAATTAGAAAATCAGTACTCCGGTGTAACAGTTGGGAGCTTGTTAGGATGCTCTCTAGAGCAGCACCTACCTCACACAAGTCCTTACATAAAATAATTCGTCACGCTTATTTGTCTTGTTAACAGACAGCTAGTAGCCTCTGCTTGTGTGCGGCCTGGATGAAGATTGTAGACGAACACCTTTAAAAGCCCAGACAACAGATTATAGATGTGACCGCCCTCTCAGCCCCTCACCGTTGTTTGCAGGCAGGCACGGCCACGGCCGCACGGGCAATGGCCACCGCGAGTGCGATGACGGGGCACCAGCAGCTCCCTCGCCGGCCCGCGTCGTGCTCCAACTCCAAGCAGAACCGGGCCAGCAAGAGCAAGCCGCCGGTGGTGATCGCGCACGAGTGCCCCAGCGCGATGCGTGCCCACGTGGTGGAGGTGCCCGCGGGGCGCGACGTGCTGTCGTGCGTCTCCGCGTTCGCGCGGCGTGGGCGGCGCGGCGCGCTGGTGCTGGGCGCGGCCGGGCACGTCACGGACGTGGTGCTCCGGGAGCCCGCGCTGGTGCTCCGCGGCACCATGGAGATACTGAGCCTGGCCGGCTGCTTCTTCCCGTTCCCGGGGCCTGGGTCGGCGGCAGCCACGGGGACGGCGGTGTTCCTGGCGGGGCCGCGGGGCAGCGTGCTGGGCGGCGGCGTTGCGCTGGGAGGGCTGGTGGCCGCAGGGCCGGTGGTGGTCATGGTGGCCACGTTTGTAGCGGCGGCGCTGGACAGGCTGCCGTTGGCCAAGGGGCAGGAGGCCGGGAAGGCTCAGCAGGGCTGTGACGTGCATGGACACCACCGGGCGTGCAGCTGGGCGGCAGTGTGCCGAAAGCAGCAGCAGCAGCTTGGCGCCAATAGCTGATCGAAAGCCTTGCTTCCATCTCTGGCGAATTTAATCAATTGATTTACAGCAACTTCGTTTACATTTCCATATATATAGTACTACAATTCGAGTTTAAACTTGACCACGGACAAGAATATTCCATTCAGATGTTGTTTGAAACCTGCTCTCAAAAAGACCCACCCCGTGCAAGAACGTATATGTAATAGCTACTATTAATTATGATTTTTTTCTCCAAAAACAACAAAAATTGCAGTAATATATATTTTCTCTTCTTTTTTATGTATACACTAAGTGCATTGCAACGAGATGTTGAGGTTGTTTCATAGCTATCTGGATAACTTGCAGCTCGGAGATTTTATTTAGTGATCACATCATACATTTCAATCCGCCTTAAAACCGAACTCCATATTATGGTTGGACGAATGCTGCTCTAACTTGTATGGGTACGAGATAATTCATTTTGAGATCGGACTTCGCACTATGCTTGAACACTTAACTCATGAGGGTATGAAGGAGAATGGTAGACCATGAAAACACTTGGTACTCTAATTCATTTTAGAATCATACTCTGCGCTATGTTTGGACATGCTACTCTAACATGTCCGAGCATGAGAGAGATTGGCTTTGTCGGATCCCTATTGAGCGGTTGTGTATGATGAAGGATGAAGAAAAACCTTAGCCTCTTCAATACTCCATCCGTTCCAAATTATAAGACATTTTGGCTTTTCTATATATATTGTTTTTACTATATATCTAGACATAGTGTATACATGCATAATAGAATGCTATGTATCTAGAAATCCCAGAGCATTTTATAGTTTGAATGGAGAGAGTATTAATTAGGGAGGATATGGATAGGGGGGGTTATTAGACATGGGTCGAAATAGCTTGACCGGCCTGCCTGATGACTCGGAAACCTGAGATTATTAGTTGGGCCTGGCCCAGTCACGTATACCGGAACAAATATTGCACGCCCTGCTATATCCTTGATGAACAAGGCCCACCTGCCCGTCCTACTCCCCTTCCCCAAGGGAATCGGTCGAGTGGAGTCAGCGCCGCCGGGCCGGTCGCGGTCGGACCCCCCTTGCTTCCCCGTCCCCCCGCCGCTCCGCCCGCCTCCTCTCCTTCGATTCGTTGCTTCCCGCTTCAAATCCTCCTGCGCCGCGCCAAGCTAAGCCACCACCCTTTCCTTCCCATGGCTTCCGACGCCCCCGCGCAGCAACCGGCGCCCCAGCAGAAGCCTACCAGAGTCTCGCTGTCCTACGAGGAGATCTCCAAGCTCTTCTCCCTCCCCATCGCCGAGGCGGCCTCCATCCTCGGTATGTACAATAAATCCATGCATGTGCCTTGCGCGCTGCTTCCAATTCCCTTCACCCTGCATGCTCCTCTTATCTGCAGGAGTCTGCACTAGTGTCTTGAAGAGGATCTGCCGCACCCACGGGATTGTTAGGTGGCCCTATCGTAAGGTAAATTCCTATGGGGCAAGTGTGTGCTTTGTCCTTACCATGTCTACGCCTGCAAAATCTTACTGTATGCTACTACTACTTTTGTGTGATATAATAAGCACACAACATTTTGAATCAAGTAGTTCCATGTTGGACATGTCTTAAAATCTCATATGGCCATAGGGGGATTACTCAAAGCCAGCCCCATGTACGTTTTCTCGTGTATCTGCTCTAAACAGAGTTGCGTTGGTCCATACAACTTTTAATACCTCTGCTTTGATTTCTTAGTCTGTCTGGTCATTTGTAGTTTTACTCTTTCAGCTTGTTTCTGGGAAAGCTGGGGACGACACAAAAGGTCCTGATAGAGACAAAGCCAAGGAACTCCTTGAGTTATCAAAAATCGCGAAACAAAAGGCTTCCAGTGCATCAGGCCCATCAATAGTGTGAGTAATGCTTTCCTCTGAGGCCTTGATAGACGATTCTTGTGATTTAGTTGCTGCCTGTGCCTTCTTCTCTCCTGGAAAAAAAAAGGAAATTGATCTGTGAAACAGATCGCATCATATTCAGCTCACACTTGGACTGGACTGGACATGTTTATAGGTCATCAAGCACTTCCCAAGGAGTGGCAAAGTCTCAACAGGGCAGTTCTAAGGCAGGACAAATTTCAGTTTCGCCCCCAGCAGGTAAACAGAATGCATCACCAAGCTTGGCCCATGGTAGCCAAGCCAAGGCCATCCCTAGCTATATGGATGATTTCAAGTACGGATTCCCATCATCTGGCTTGTCTTGTGAAACTATGAAATGGTGGGGCACAAGCAGCGACACAGACTGTGTGCCTGCCAAAGATGGAAGCCATGAAGCCCATGAATCAACAACACATGAGCCTGCCAAAGATGATGACGAGTTGGACTGGGGAGCAGATGAAGCGGATGCTGAAGCTGATGGCGCTGTTACAGCTGAAGCGTCGGCGCAGCTGTGCTCCCTGAGAAGGAAAGCAGTAGATGACGGGCGCAAGCTATTGAATGGCGACAACCGCAGGGGCCAAGAATTTTCTAGGCTCAACAAAAGGCAGAAGCTAGCGCTGGCCCAGGTATTTGGGGCTTCACTGCCAGATGTTGTGTCTAGTGAGTGAGAGCAACTGTAGCTGTGTTTTCCCTCCCTCTCCAGGTCCTCATGTAATCTGACCCATTATTAGCGAGAAGTGTGAAATCTTCTCATTGAATTCAAGAATGGCAGGAGCTTGTTTTGTCTTCCTATCATACAAGTCATTGCTTCCGCTTTTCTCTACATATTTTCTCTTATCTTCCATGTGTGTACGAGGAGAGCACCTTATGATATATATATGAATTCACATATATATGTACATAACATCATCCCATTCCATTGTGTTTTGTTCCTTTTTTGTTTTTGATAACATTGCGTTTTGTTCCTTGATTTCAAGTCAAAACTGTTAAACACTTGTAAAACTAGCAAAGATGTCCTCAAAGTGAACGGATCCAGAAGATAAGCATACCCATGGTGTTTGGTCAATGGAGGATATAGCATCAAATACACATCCAAGTGAGTTTGGCTGCCCTTAATATATCTCTTTCTGCATTTTTTTCCATATGAAAACCCATCGATGCAAATCTGAAAGAAATAGCGTTCTTTCTTCAGATAGCATGCCCCTCATCTTCAACTGTAGGTTGTGAAATGTTTATGCTCCTTAAAGTTATTATAGTTTCCAAATCCATGTGTTTTAGGCAACTGTGAGACAATTATACCTGTAGGTTTATCTTTTATTTGCGCTGTTTTTTTTTTTTGGATTTTGTAACAGTGGCCAATTCTACATTTATCTCATCATTGTATTGATACAGAAGGTTATGCATAAGAATCACCTTATTTGTCGATTTGATATGATCATATGAAAGTCGAATGCATGTAGGTCTCAGGCAGACGACATGTGTAGTGTTTGATTTACTGCTTGGGTGCTTGCAGAAGTGATACATTTAGGTGTTATGTTTAACTGTTGGTGTGATATGTATTTTGGAAGGTGTTTTTTCCTTCCATCTACAGTCACATTATAGCATGCAGAAGATGTTTATGTGTATTGATTTAAACTTTTTTATGTCTGGCTCTGAAGCTTTGCCATCCATTACTGTATTACAGTAATGTCATGATATCCTTATATTACAGCATTTGTGTAAAGTGATGGCAAATTAATCTGTTAGCTGGCATTCGCTTTTGTAATGCTATCCGCATTGCAAGACTGAATGAATCTTGCAAAGTGTGCACTAGCGATTTGATGTCAAAGGGATAAAGCTTTAGTAGTTTAGTTACTGCTTTGCCTGTTATGCTCACATATGGAAGCAATGCTGACATTAGTGTGGCTGAAGAATGTACATCACAACCACCTTTGCTGCCTCCTTAGGGCATCTCCAATGTATGGTTATCATTTCCGCGAAGTGAGCGTTAGCTCTTTATGATGTTCTGGCGGCATGCACTTTGTCTTGTAACAGCATCTAACGGTGAGTTTGTTGTCTAATTTTCTACTTGATCCAGGCAGAGATAGCACTGAACTTAAGCTACCTGGCATACGGGATCTAACGTTGCTTCTGCTGACTGCTTGGGATTGGATGGCACTTTTTGTGGGCAAAGAGCCTGAGACTACTATATTGCCTTTGTTAACCAAATGTTTCTCTTAGAACTTAGAAGCAACCTGCATAATACGTAAGCAAATAAGCAATGGTAGGCTTTTGATATTTGCCGTTGTAAGGCCCAACTGCCCAAGGATAATGAAATATACAGGGCAGGGCATGTGTTTGGCACTAGATGGCCTGGCCTATAGATAGCCATCATGTGTTTGGTGTTGCTTGTGGCATACTGTTCTTTTTTCAGTTGAGAAGTATCGTGTGACATGATAATATTATTGATCTCTTTTGTGTTTGCCTCTACTGATCTTGATTGGTGTTCACATGAAGTTTTTATATAACCTGCTTTTTCTTTCTTTCTTTCAGAACCAAGGTTTCCAAATGTTGAAAATATATATCTGGCTGAAATCAATTCAATCTTTCCATGCGAAGTGGGCAAAATTGGTGTTGCAGGGCAAGGGGACAAATGTGGATGGGAATAAGAGGAAGAGCAAAGGGCAAAGGCAGATAGAAAAGGCGTATAGTATAGACAAGGAGGAACAGAGCAAGCAAGGTATATGCATTCAACATCTTTTACGGGCAGCAGGTGGTATTGGTTTCTGGATCTACCTCATTGGTGGTTATGGAACATCCACATGGGTAAAGTAATGTATGATTTGGTAATCATCATGACTTTTTGTTTGGTTTTGGTATGGAGCATGTTGTGCATGTAGAGCCATCAGTAAATACAGAGGAGTGGGTACTAAAGTGAACAGATATGATCTCTGGTGGGCATAAATAGATAGGGAAGTAAACTCACGTTTGGAAGAATCATCAACAGGAGGAGCAGTGCCTTCTATCCCCCATTGCATAACACCTGTTTGGCTGTTTTGACTACATAACAGGGAATGGGGACAGAGGAAGGAAAGCAGTAGAAGTCGGGATCCACCAAGGCTAAGCTTTGTGATGAGGTGAGGTGAAGTGACAAGTGAGGGACCCAAGAAAAGGCCACTGCAGAGTTAAGAGACAGACTTGAGAGGGAGAGATGCAAAGAGCAGAACAAAATCGGCAGCAGTATTTGCTATGGAGCTGAAGCAGGAGCACATGGTAGGTTGCCTTGGGTTGAAGCCAGAGACAGAGACCTTACCTGTGTCTGTGTGGTACACATGCGTGTAGCATGACCGTCCAGCAAGCAAATTAAAGCAAATGCAAAGCAGAGCAGTGTGTCACCTACTCAGCTCCACTCAAGGTCCAGCGGGTGCGGTGCGGGAGTACATTTCCTCCGTTCCCCAGCCTCCCCCCACCCAAAGGTCCAAGGACTTGTTCTCTATAAACCAGAAGAGAACCTGCAGGCAGGCGTCCTGTGTAGTGCAGAGCACTCGTCTGATCTAAGTGATCTGTCTCCACAACGAGTGCACTGTCCACCCAGCCCAGCTCTTGCTTTCTGCAGAGCAAGAGCAAGATGGCAAGAGGTGCTCGGCCATCTGCGCGGCTCCTGCTCCTCTCCCTGGGGCTTGTGCTCCTCTACTTCAGCTCAGGTAATTTCACTGCCGGTTACTGGTTTTAATTTCTTCTGATTCCTGAACCCCGCTTTCTTCTCTGCCACACCTTTTCCTCTACTCTTCTCCTTGTTCCATTTCATTCTTAAGAGTATGGATGAAAACGGTACGGATATTTATTCGACCGTCCGTTCGACCGAACAAATATGAACACTTATCTGGATAGTTACTCGGATATCCGGTTTTTTTTTCGGATACGGATACTAAAACGGATATCTTAGGCGGATATCAAATACGGATGTAATATCATCGATATCCGGCGGATATCGGATAATCCGGATAAGTATCGGATATATCCGGATATTTAAAAACGGATATTATCCGGATATTTATTCAAAATTTAAAAATCACAAATTTGAACCATCCAAACTATCTCAAATGGAAAGTTGACCAAAACAACAATTGTAGATCTTGATGAGTTGAACAAACTTGGTATTCAAAACTTTTCAATTTGAAGTCATTTAGAGTTCATAATACTAGAGTCAAAGTGTTGTTTTTTCATTTGACCAAATTTGACTTGGTCAAACTTGCTCAAATGAGACACTAAATGACCTCAGATGAAAAAACTCTGAATACCAAGTTTGATCATCTCAGCAAGATCTACAATTGTTACATAGCTCATTTTCCCATTTGAAAAAGTTTTATCAAACACTAGTCATAAATTCTTGAATCTCATATAGACTTTCTGAAACTATGTCACACACTTGTGAAATTTGAACTATATTTTGTTCAAACTTTCTCAAATGAAAAAATGACCTATATAAGGATTGTATATCTTGATGAGATGAACAAATTTGGTATTCAAAACTTTTCAATTTGAGACAATCTAGGGTTCCGAAAACTAGTTTGTAAACGTTGAAATTTAAAAATCACAAATTTGAACCGTCCAAACTATCTCAAATGGAAAGTTGACCAAAACAAAAATTTTAGATCTTGATGAGTTGAACAAACTTGGTATTCAAAACTTTTCAATTTAAAGTCATTTAGAGTTCATAATACTAGAGTCAAAGTGTTGTTTTTTCATTTGACCAAATTTGACTTGGTCAAACTTGCTCAAATGAGACACTAAATGACCTCAGATGAAAAAACTCTGAATACCAAGTTTGATCATCTCAGCAAGATATACAATTGTTACATAGCTCATTTTCTCATTTGAGAAAGTTTTATCAAACACTAGTCACAAATTCTTGAATCTCATATAGACTTTCTGAAACTATGTCACACACTTGTGAAATTTGAACTACAATTTGTTCAAACTTTCTCAAATGAAAAAATATCCTATATAAGGATTGTAGATCTTGATGAGCTGAACAAACTTGGTATTCAAAACTTTTCAATTTGAGACAATCTAGGGTTCCGAAAACTAGTTTGTAAGCATCGAAATTTAAAAATCACAAATTTGAACCGTCCAAACTATATCAAATGGAAAGTTGACCAAAACAAGAATTGTAGATCTTGATGAGTTGAACAAACTTGGTATTCAAAACTTTTCAATTTGAAGTCATTTAGAGTTCATAATACTAGAGTCAAAGTGTTGTTTTTTCATTTGACCAAATTTGGTTTGGTCAAACTTGCTCAAATGAGACACTAAATGACCTCAGATGAAAAAACTCTGAATACCAAGTTTGATCATCTCAGCAAGATATACAATTGTTATATAGCTCATTTTCCCATTTGAGAAAGTTTTATCAAACACTAGTCACAAATTCTTAAATCTCATATAGACTTTCTAAAACTATGTCACACACTTGTGAAATTTGAACTACATTTTGTTCAAACTTTCTCAAAATGAAAAAATGACCTATATAAGGATTGTAGATCTTGAATCCATGACCATGACTCCATGAGACTCATGAAGCAATGTGCTTGGCTATTTCTACTCATGCCGCGAAGATTGATGCTTATATGATGTTTGATGTATGATGTATCTGTATCTTTATCTTATTTGTTGCTTTACTCTTTAGTCTTTCGGCTTAATCTAGATGGATTATGGACTCATAGAGTGGTGTAATGGTTTGCGCACGTATGATATATATATATATATATGCTGCTTTTACTCAATATCCGAATAGATATTTGTATCCGACCTTCTCCGAATCCGATTCATACCGTATTCGATACTCATTATTCGTATCCGTAACCGAGTCAATCCGTATTCGTATATGTATCCGAACGTTATCCGTGTCCGAATCCGAATCCGAACAGAAATATGAAAACAAATATAATATGAATGATATCCGTTCGTATCCGATCCGTTTTCATCCCTACTTAAGAGTAAAGGTTTCCCTTTTTGGGGACTGCCGTGCTGTGTGTCAACTGTTGATTGATAGTGCTCCAGTACCCACCAGTAGCTTGTGCTGCCTTGGCATTTGGAATTGCTTGATTGGAACTGTTTTGATTTTGTAGGAAGCAGCGTTGGCGTCGCTGATGCCCAGAAAACGTGGTGCGTGGCCAAGCCGTCGGCGTCCAACGATATCCTGTCTCTGAACCTCAACTACGCGTGCTCCCAGGTGAGCTGCGCCGTGATCCAGAAGGGCGGGCCGTGCTACTACCCGGACAACCTGGTGTCGCGCGCCGCCGTGGCCATGAACCTGTACTACGCCGCCAATGGCAGGCACCCCTGGAACTGCTACTTCAACAACTCGGCGCTCGTGGTGCAGTCCGATCCCAGCTATGGCTCCTGCACCTACTACTGATCGATTGCCCTCCTCTCCTCTCCTCAAGTTGCATGCAGCTCTTACTCTTTTGTAGAGCTGCAGAGGTCGATCAACGAGACGAATGGAAATCTAATCCCTGTGTTGTGTTGCGTAATTGTGTCGCGTCGTAGCAAAAGTTACTCTCCCTTGTATTGTTCCATCCAGTTGATATGATGTTGAGTGCGCTGAGCCATAGATATTACGTTTGGAGATGCATGCATGCATGTGATTGTGTATTCAAGGACGGTGTGATTGCAAATGAAAGAAGAAGAGTTTTTTCCAACCTTCTTAGCGAGATTGATGGTAATGGTACATTGAGCAAATTAACTAAAGTGATGCATGGGCTTGTTTCTTTTGTCATCAGCAAGACAGCAATCATTCATAAATCTGCCATCTCAGATTGATCATGATATACCAACCGCTGGCTGTAGCGTCCAGAGAGATCACTGCCGATGCAAGCCAATAGTATCCACAACAACGCATGGCATCCTTATCAATAGTATCGTATAATTTGACTGCAGGTCTAGTGGCAATCGCAACAACGACGAAGATTTTTCTTGGCTCGATCATCAGGAGTATATATATGTAGGTAGAGCTCCATTGAGCAGTAGTCGATCAGCAGTCCAAAATTAGGCTATTTCAAGCTTCTTCTCACTATGGTGGTTCATTCTAACATAATAATAACCTGCTTGGATCTGCTCATCATCGTCAACATCATGCGATGCATATTATCTCTTCTCTTGCCCTGATTAATACAGCAGTTTATTTGTTTATTTTTATCTATATATCTCCTCACTAGCTCATCCGATCCGATGCGATCTCTGGAGGGTAACAAACATATTCATGCCTAATTTCGCAGTATGTATCCCTCGTGGTAGCGCAGATTTGATCTATATATAATATAACCAGTGATCTTCATGAAGCATCTGCAGAATTAAGGTGACCATATGCATGCATTCGTACTGAGTATGAGATCGATCTGGTTGTACAGTAATGGCTAAATTTACAGTAAGGCCTTGTTTAAATCTTGGGTATAAAGTTTTGGGTGTCACACATCGGATGTCACAGGGTGTCGCGTGGGATGTTCAGATACTAATAAAAAAACAAATTACAGAATTTGTGAGATAAATTTATTAAGTCTAATTAATCTGTCATTAGCACATGTATTACTGGAGCACCACGTTGTCAAATCATGGACTAATTAGGCTTAAAAAATTCGTCAGTCAAATTAGTCACAAACTGTGTATAGTTATTTTTTAGTCTATATTTAATACTCCATGTGTCCAAACATTCGATGGAATAGGGAGTAAACTTTAGGGGAAGAACTAAACAAAGCCTAAGTAGCTAGCTAGCGCGCGATCATATTCATAGCGGTGCCGGATTCCATTCCATCACCCTGTTCGCTTCGCTGATGCTGAAATTTGACTTATACTGATACTTATACTGAAATGTTATGAGAGAAGAAAAAAAACATTGTTTGATAATTTAAAAAATAGTTCTGAATAAGCTGAAGTGAGGGGGGGGGGGGGCGTATCTTTCTTCGTTAATTCCGCCAGTACATCATCAACCATGCATCCATCCATCCTCTTGCACTGGGCCGGCATTGCTGCGAGCTACTCTTTCTTCTTTTGTATATTATTATCATCTAGACAAAAAGCATCGCCAACCGTACCGTCTGGCTATGGCGCCTTTTGTTTTTGTTCTGGAGCTAGCTAGCTTAGCTAGTGCCAAATACACTACAGTACGTAGTAGACTGAAATCGTGTGGGTGTGGGTCCCACCCTGTTAAATACTAGTCCCTTTTTTTCGCACAATAGTTGGAGGAGCAAGTGCTTATGTATGTCCCAAATGTAGTCCCCATCATCATCATCATCATATGCATAGCCATGGCCAATGGGAGTGTAGGAGGACCCAGCCAACGATGCCAGCCATGTGCAATGCAAGTGGCGAGGAGCCAGAGAAGAGGGATGGCCGGCCGCGGCCCTGGGCGGCTGCGGCTGCGGCTGCGGCTGGGCGAACGCGAACCGAACGAGAGATGCCATGCCGGATGCCGGAGGGTAGGGTAGGTAGGCCCCACCCCACACGCTCTCCCTGAGTCCCTGTGTGTTGTGCTCGTGGTCTCTTTCTTGATCCAGATCCGGACCGATCGATCCATCCAAATCACCCTTCCCTTCCGGCCTTCCCCTTCCTCTTCTCTTCCACCACCAGCAGGCAGCAGCGGCGGCGGACTCGTCGTCGTCCTCAATTCTCCTTGGATTGGATCAAATTCAAAATCCTCGTGCTGTGGTTGCTCTGTACTGGACTCGATTCCTCACTCCTGTCCCGAGTTGTGCTGTGCTGTTGACCAGACGGACCGCAGGAGATTCATCCCGTCCCCTCCGCTTCTCCTTGTGCTGCTCTGCTCTGCTCTGGTAAGCAACCGCCCTACCTCTGCTTGCTGCTTGCTTGCTTCCATGGATTGATTATTACAGTACATGCTGTTACTCTATGAGCAAGCCCTCCTCAACCCCAAATCTCCGATTTCAATCATGCGGATGGAATATGGATGGATGGATTACTTTGCTTTGCTGCGTGGCGTCCACGTTATGAGAACCAACAATTTCGCTCTGGACACCCAAACCCAACCGCAATTGGATGGATCCCCTTGTTAAATTTAACTTACTCTATGTATAAACACATGTGTCCTACGACCACAATTGGGTCCCCTTGTTTTAGCTAACTACTGTAGGCTCCAGATTCAACCGCAGGCACTTGTTTGACTTCACATGCATGCACACTACTGTATGTTCCAAGTCACCTTTCAAAGCCATGTCATACCAGTTTCCTTTACTACTTGTTACTATACTCTATTTCTTCTCTGGATATCGCACTAACTGATGAGTGAACATCACACACACCGATCCTTCAAACATCCATCACACGTAGTGAAAGGCTGAAAACACACAATTGGTGGTGGGGGGTTGATATCTCAAATAATCATACATGATCTCTTTCTTCACTACTCCTAGGAAAGAGAAGCCAAGTCAAGTAACGTGCATCACCAAAATGTTTTAAACAAACTGAGCTATTGATGTTATCAGCTGGTGGGGATGCTGGAGTAATTTGTTCAACACCAAAAGAATAGGAACATGCTGCCTTACCTATTCAGAAAGCACCACTTAGTTTGCCTTTCTGTTCTAAGCCATATACTGCATTGACATTATTACACAATTATTTCCTCCATCAGCTTCTTCGTCCTTTCTTGAGTTATGTATGTGTCCACAACTTTATGCCTTATATAAGTTTGCCCTTTTACCATGATGCATGCCTTTTTTTATGTGAACGTTGACATAATGACATTAGCTTCTTGTTTTGGTGATGCATGTTACATAACGTCAACATACAACAAACACAAAAATAGCATCATGTCGGAGATGAAGGACTCCAATGCGCCTGCTGCACTTGATGGAAATCCTCAACCTATGGACCAAACTGAAGACAATTCTATGCCCTCAGCTCAGCAACAGGTTATTTTCTGCACTAGACCTGGAGATTATACAGTATTATTACGTACAGTAATTTCAATGGCACTCCTGCACTCTTTTGGTGATGGAATAACCATGCATCCAAATTGCTTTAAGTAAGTGGCATGATGGGTTGTACTGAACATAATAATGTTTCTGTGGACAGGAAGAAGCAATCAAGAAGAAGTTTGGAGGACTAATGCCAAAAAAGCCACCACTCATCTCAAAGGTTCCTTGCTGACATTTTTTTTTTCATATTATCCCAAGATAGATGAAATAGGAGGGGAGCAGAGCCAGATAACATCCGCATAAGGAAAGTGCTGTTGTAATAAAATTCTCTTTTTGTAACTGTAGGATCATGAGCGGGCCTACTTTGATTCTGCTGACTGGGCTCTAGGAAAGGTATTTGCTGTTACCCTTCTTCTCTTTAATTTCTGTGGCTTCAGTACGTTTAATCTAGCGAGTTGAGGGCGCAAGTTTGGAACTTGCATGAATTAGTACCATGCATGACACTTTGGTTGTGTACAGCAAGGTGTCGCTAAACCAAAAGGACCACTGGAGGCACTTAGGCCAAAGCTGCAGGTATCACTCTGCTATCTATATGTAATGTACATATGGCCAAAGCCTAAGTGATGGTGTGTGTTCTGGTTGAGGTTCAGCTAAAATTACTCACTCCGATCCCCTGTTCAACACACTGATGTACTGTAGATGACATTATGTTGCTTTTTTTTCTGGTTTATTGTTTCAGCCAACACGCCAACAGCAGCAACAACGAGCAAGGCGCTCTATTTACACTTCGTCAGAAAACGAGGGTATGTACTTTGATTTGTTGATGATGCCTTAGCTTGATTCTGGTCCTTGTGCACAAGCAAAACAGAGCTAAGATAATCTAAGCAGAGTATATGCATATATAGAGGTTTACTGGTAGAGTAGTAAATGAAGATGGGCGCTAGTTCTCTGTATTGTTTGTAACATATAACATGCATGGTTGCAGACGGAGATGGTGCTGGTACTGAGGATATGAGCATCAACTGAAGTGGAGTTGAATCTGTAGGACGTGGGTACGGTTGTTGCAGAATCGCAGCTTGCTTTGGCCACTGCCTGAATTGATTGATGAGGAAGTCGTCAGTATATGTCAAGTGTTGTATTTTCCTTTGCAATTGAAGGACAGAGGGTGATTCATCTCTATACATATACATGAAACTAAATGATTGACTGCTGGGTTAATGAGTTGAACATTTGATATGCATGATGATATGGCCTATTATGTACTACTATATAAAAATTACTGCGTAGTATTTTTATTATCTGTGGATAGACGTATATATATTAAAAATAAAGTGCGTGTATTGTTGACATCTATGTGTTATTGTTACTGTTAATTGGTGATTACGGATGGTGTTGCATTGGTGGAGCTGCGTTGGTTAATTGACTGGTGGTTGTAGAGGAGGATTGGAGAGGAACGGGACACCTCCTCCAGCACCCCCTGCCAATTCGTTCCTTCGTGTTGCCCGCGGTCGCGGGAGCGGAGGTCCAGGGTCCAGGCCCGGGCGGGAAAAAGCAACAGGTGGCGGCGCAGCGCCACGCAGCAGAGGATCTACACGGCCGGCGCCTAGACGCGCTCCGCGCCACGCCTGAGCACCATACGCGCGCTGTCGGAAGCGGAGAGGTGTGATAGTCGCCTGCTCTGCTCCTCATGATTTGTACAGTCAATTCCTTAAGTCTTGTTTCTGCTCTTCATCGCTGTCACCTACGAACTGGCTGCTGCTGCTGCTGCTGCTACTAGTACTAGCTAATACTTGACTCTGTTATGACCTGCTTAGACTATCTTCAATAACAACGACCAAAATACAAGATCTATTTCACGTTTGATAGTGCTACACGTAAAAGGTTCAATACCTATTTTTAGTCTTCTCCAACGACACGACCCCAGAAAGAACTCTTTCTGCAAATGGGTCTCAAAGAGAGAGGATGCTCATATTTAGGTTGTGACTCGGCTGTTATCCAAAATGGGTCTCGCATATAGGTACTATGTTGAAGACCGATACAATACAATCCAAGACCCATTTTAGGTTTGGGTGCCCATATGGATGACGTGTTGGAAACGGTCTTACGTTACGTTGCTGTTGTACTTCATTTAGTACCTAGAAGAATAGAAGAAAGAAAAAATGAATGATAGAGAGAAACGACGGTGGCGTATAATGTTGTGCATGGAAATTGGAAATGAGCGATCCATCGAGCAGTCTTCAGGATCACTATATAGGCTTCATAATTGTCGTGTTTGTTGGGTTTGAATGACCCACCACCTCCACCCTCCCTTCCTCTTCTGTTGCGGCCTCGCTTGCCCAATCGCAATCGGTTTCGGGCTCCTCCCTTCCCCTCTCCTGCGTATAATATATTGGATGGATCCAAGCACAAATCAAAACCCAGATATCTGTAGCGCCGGAAGAGAGAGAGAGAGGAGAGAGCCATGCCAGTGCGCAAGGCCAACTTGCATCCGCCTGCTCTCGATGGCGACGGCAACGCTGAGGGCCACAGGGGAGAAGAAATCCAAATCCCTTGGGTGCTCCTCGAAGACGCCGCCTATGTCACCGACTGCCGCAATGCCACCACCGCCTACTGTCGATGCGGGACCCACGGGATACACCGTAAGGAAGGGAGAAGATCTAGTCTAACTAGAATTCTTACTATGTAATTCTAGTAGTAGTATTATTCTGTAATCCTACTAGGAACTCTCATTGTAAACCGATTAGGATTCTGACCTCCTAACTATATAAAGGAGGGCAGGGTTCCTAGAGAGGGGACTTTTGAATACTTTATGACATAATACTTCACAATCAATCCAACGCAAAGGCTAACGCCGACTGGACGTAGGGCTATTACTCGATCACGATCGAGGGTCCGAACCAGGATAAATCGACTGTCCCTTGCGTTAACCGTCGAGTTCTGCATACGCTGAAGCCCGAACAAACTGCCCCGGGTACCCTCGTGGCAGGCTATCGGTGGTGAAACATCGACAGCTGGCGCTCCAGGTAGAGGCTTTCGGCGAATTTGCATCCGAGAGCTCGATGGACCTCGACAACATGATCTTCTCGACGGGATCAACCTTCATCTTCGGTTCATGGATCTGTGAGGCAGGTGACAATGGCAAGCTCCAAAGACATCTCCTCGAAGATTCGGATCACCATGAAGACCATTCTATTTCGGCGACTACGACAGATTAACTCGCTGGAAGATTCACGCAGCTCGCAATGTCCGATCCAACTCAGATTTCGCGACTTTGCGCATCCGACTCAAACTTAGGTTCCGCATCCAAAATGGAGTCTTACCCAAGTTCTTCTGAGAAACCGAGTTCTTTTCCGATGGAGCTTAAGAATGCGGCCTTGGCCTATGAAGAATACAACTCGGAGTACACTTAGAGTCTTCTCAAGAAGTCGGATCCTTTTCCGTTCGGACTCCACAACATGGCAACATCTTATCAGACATGGCCCGAAGGATCCCTCGATCTGGTGCTTATAATGCCACTGAAAGGAGCTCAGGAAGGCCTCGTACTAACTATAACATCTCAAGACTGCATCGTCCACTGGCCAGGTTCTGTTCCCGAGGATAGCGGTACCTGACTAGTCGGCACTACAACAACAACAATTCTACCCTACCAAGAAGGAGACTCGATCTACGACCTCGAAGCCTCTACTAAAGTTATCAACTACTCCGACAGTGTGGAAACCGACGCCGATAGCGAAACAATTCGCGCACGAGAAGTATTCATGGTTCGCCGTCCTTGATCATCATTGGTCCCCCCCCAGAAGCGCCCGACGTCAGGTCATCGGATGAATCTGAGTCCAACATATCACCCTTTTACCCAGGGGCACGATGGTGAGATCGAGAATCAGAAGCAAGCCAGAGAAAGAAAAAACAAGTTGAAACAAGGATGCCAACACCGTGCTAGGCAGCGCAAGGAAGCTTGGATCAGATATGAGTCAGATCTGGCCGAGTACAATAGAAGAAAATCAGAATGAGAAGTCGAAGAAAGACGCACGGCGAATACACCCTACGATAGGATCCGAGAAGCACTAGAAGAACTCAGAGCGACCTCACACCCCAGTGAAAAACAAGAGCAGCTCCGGGACTTTCTCCGGTCAACAGTCCTAAGGACGCACGATAGAAGGACCCGCTCAAGACTACCTACCAGGTCAACATCTCATGAGCAGGAAGATCAAAATCAAAGGAAGTCAGCTTTCAAGAGACTTGGACCAAGTGGAAGTCACAACAGAGAAAATAGAAGGGACCATAGTCAAAACGACCGAGTCGAACAACCAAGAAAGGTCAGAAGCAAAGCACCTATTCAGACAGCCACGCAGAACTACTCTCACCAAGATAACAGTTGGCAAGAAGGGGGTGCTGAATCAGAATACACAGAAGCCAGAACGCATGATAGATTCCCTTGTTTTGCAAACAGACTTGCTTCAATACGACTACCTCACAAGTTTAAGCCGTCCAACCACTCTAAGTATGATGGCAAGACCGAACCAAGGCAGTGGCTCAGGATTTACTCGCAATCGATTGAACTGGCCGGAGGAGACGATGATATCAAGACCTTGTTCTTTCCCATGGCCCTAGAAACCATGCCCCTTCAATGGTTTGACAAATTGAATCCAGGATCAATCAGAAATTGGGAAGACTTGCAAAGAGCTTTCTGTGAAAATTTCGCGGGTATCATTACACACCCAATCACCCACGCAGAGTTAAAATGACTCAAGAAGAAAGAAGGTGAAAGTCTCAGAAGTTACTATCGACGATTTGGCGAATTACGTGCTCAAGTACATGACATCACCGAACGAGAAGTAATCGAAGCTTTCTCTCACGGAATCATGGCTAGGTGGCAATTTTAGGACTTCTGCAAAGAAAACCCGAGAAACAATGAAGAATTCAGACGAACAGTAGAAAAGATGATTACTGCAGAGGAGAAGACACGAGAAAGGTTCCTGGATAGAAACAACCGAGACAACCCGGACAAGCAAAATCATCGAAACAACAGACATCAGGAGAGAAAACGTGGACCAGACAACACCGTAGCGGTGACTGACAAATCAAGGAAGTTTTCCAAACCCAGAAGGTATGACGACATTGAAAACATGCATTGCATCTTGCACCCCAAAGGAAATCACACCATCAGAAATTGCTACAGCTTCAATGATCGATACACAAGAAAAGATAGTAAGGGGAACACTAAAGAAGACAATCAGAAAAAAGAAGAAGACAACCACGAAGACAAGGGATTCCAAAAATCCAGGGGGACAGTAGCAGTGATCTTCGCCGGGGTTCCAGATTCCAGAAGCAAACATTAAGAAAAGCTAGCATTACGAACCATCATGGCAGCAGAACTGGCTACTCCAAGATACCTCAATTGGTCACAGTATCCAATCCAATTTTTAAGAGAAGGCCAATGGACTAGCGTAGGAAACGCAGGCCATTACCCACTGGTTCTAGATCCAACTATTGCCGGTATGACTGTCACAAAAGTACTAATCGACAGGGGAGCTGGACTCAACATTATTTTTTTAGAAACTCTAAGGAAGATGGGACTACAACTCACCGGGATGATTACACCAATGAGCATCCCTTTTTATGGCATAGTACCTGGCAAGGCAGCGATGCCACTTGGACAAATCACTCTACCGGTTACTTTTGGAACTCCCTCGAACTACCGGACAGAGTTCATCAAGTTTGAAGTTGCAGACTTCGATTCATCATATCATGCAATCCTCGGGCGCCCATCACTAGCAAAATTCATGGCGATACCGCATTATCCGTACCTATTGCTTAAGATGCCAGGGCCTAACGGTGTTCTTTCTCTTCGAAGTGATTTGAAGCGCGCTTTTGACTACGACGTTCAGGCAATCCAAATTGCAGCAAAAGCACAAGCCGCCAATGGTAGAAAAGAAATAGCCACTATTGCTGCAGAAATAAGTCCAGAAGAGTTAGAGACACCGGCTAAAAAGCCAAGCATCCTCGCACCACCAAAAGAAGCCGAC